AGATCAAACTGTGGTCTAAAACTATTGTACATAAAAATTTTCGTGTTGATCTTCTGTATATTCCGTGAAAGAGAATATGAACCCCGCACATCATTGCAAAGCTACTTCATAGAGATGCGCAAAATGTGCTTTTCCGATAAGATGAAAACTATTTTTAGCCGGAGCGAAGTCGGAGCGGAGGTGGAGTGAGCTGGAGCGGAGTTGGAGCGAAAATTTACTGGTTGGAGCGGAGCGGGTGCAGAAATTTTCTTGTTGGAGCGGAGTCGGAGTGGAGTCGGAGCGGAGCGACTCAAAAATGCCTGGAGCGGGAGCGAGAAAGAGTCGGAGTTGCCCATCTCTGTTTCAGAAGCAGTCATTTAGTTTTCGAACATCCTCTATCAAGTGATCATCCTTCGCTGATCCTTTTTCTCATAAATAAGAGAAGGTGCAACTAGTTTTTAGTCTAGAAAAATAGCTCTTGAAAAGTTCTACAGTATTACTGAATAAACTCTATATACCACTGACTCAGTCCATTATAATTCAAGTACGAGAAAAAATCAAGAAAATGCACTCATATTTTGCAGTTTTCACCATCAAATTTTCTCAAAACCAACATCATATTTGAAATCATCGTTAAAAACTACTATCCATTTCAATGAACCGTGCAGATGGATGTTTTTTGAATAACTTTTTAACAACAAAAGCTAGCGACCTGAGGTTTTCGCCGATCGAAAGAGAATAGTTGGGGCAAACCCATGTGAAAATAAAAATTTTCTAAAATATTTTCCTAATTAATTAAAATTAGTGAAAGTTTACAAAATTAGCCTATTTTGGAGTAGAGAATTTCTTTTTATTGTTTTCGCTGGGTTTGTAAATCGCGAGGTCTTTTTTCGAATGATATCCAAGCGACCCCCAAAGTTTTGCTGCCTTGCCGAGATGCAAACGTTGTAAAAATGGCTCACTTTTTCCGGAATTCGGGTTTTTAGTCATAAAAAGTGTTAGTATAGAGGTATTCGAGTGCGTTGATTATCGTGTTGATGTCATTTTTTGTTTGCAGGCGGAAGAAATGAGTTAACAGAATTTTTTGAGAAAGTGAGTTTTCTAGGGGAAAAGGCAAAATATGCGGTTTTTCAAAAAACTCTTTTGACTCATCTTTTTCGCCTGCACTTTCTTAATAAGTCATTTTTGTAGCTCATAAAACTCTGACCAAAATGAGACATCGCCCAGCTCTACACGATCTTCCTGTACAAAGTTATAGAATTTACAGAAAAGGCCCTGAAGGTTGGTTGTCAGCTCACAGATATAGAAACAAAAAGGGAAAAGAACTAAAAAAAAGGAAAAGGGAGCCCCAGGTCGCTAGCTTTTGTTGTTTAAAAGTTATTCAAAAAACATCCACTTGCACGGTTCATTGAAACGGATAGTACTGCATTGAACAATCTTTCTCTCGGAAGGTTTAGACAACAAGTCAAAGTTGTCTAAATATTCCGAGAGAAAGATTGTTCGATACAGTAGTGATGATTTCTCTTTAAATGTATCATCGTATAATGTATGATAATGTAATAATGTATGATCGTTTTCTCTACCAAACCTGATTAAAATTAAGTTGAAAAAGCAGTAGGCCAGAACCCAGGAAAATTGGGCCTCGTCTTTTGATGCAGCACGGCAAAAGTACATAATTTTCTAATTTGTTAAATATCATGCACTTGATTATTCTTTCCACACTGCACACACACAGCTGCTCTATTCAAGACAACAGAAATACGGCAAATCGCGATTTTCTTTTTCTTTCTTTTTTCTTGCTATTATACAGTGTTGTAAGATGCAGTGATCTTTTCTCTAAGATGCACGTAATGCAAACTTCAAGTGAAATTATTTTTGGGCATTATTATACATATTCAGATTCAGCTTAACGAGCTAATTACGAATAACACCTTCCGAGCCTCCAAAAGCCATTTCTTCATGGAGAAAAACTCAAATTACCGAGAGGATCTCAAAAATACCCATAACCGTCCTCTATGATGGAATTGACTTTTTGAGCTTGTATTGCAAGATGGAAGGTTCGAACTATATTTTTCTGAATCAGCATTGAAAACTGATGTAGAAAAGTTATATCGAGAAATGACCAAGGATAAATTAGTAGAAGTTGTTTTTATAGCGGTTTCAAATTAGCACTGAATACCATCATTAAACGAGCAATTCACATATGCTCAAATTATGTTCTTTTACATAATGAATTAGAATTTATAAAGGTGACTGCTCTAAAAAGCGGCTATTCATGTAATTTTATAGAAGTTCAGATAGGAATACAAATGTCAAAACTAATGAATTCATCATCATCCAACGTAATCACACCACCACAACTAAAAACTGATAATAAAAATAAATATTTATATTGTGAAATACCATATCGTGGTAAAACAACACAAATTTTCGCTAATAAATTAAAACATTTAATTCAACACCAAAAACCGACTAAACAACTACGAATAATACAGCGTCCACCAAAATCTATACAACAATATTTTCAAATAAAAGATAATATTCTACATCCATTAAAATCTAACTTAGTTTATCATGTAGTTGCAAAAGACGGTAATGATGATTACGTAGGTAAAACAATACGACAGATTAGCAGACGTTTCAATGAACATGGAATAAAATTTCAAATTGAGCAACAACAACAAAATAATT